AACCTGCACTGGGCTCCCTGTACCTCCCTGCCACATTGTGTGTCCCAATTTACTCTTAGCTTCCCTGCTGAGAGTTCCCCTGTTTACACTGTGCCACTCAAGCACCCATGGCTGTGGCCACTCCTGGCTCTGAAAGCTGTGCTACACTGTATTGCCCCATCCCCTGGGGCAGAGGCAGGGACAGGAAGGAGAAGCCAGAGGGAGGTGAAGTCTGGAGCCCCAGGCAGCTGCTGCAGCAGGAGCAGTGGGGCAACATTGGCTGGGTGGGAGCCCAAGGGTTGCAGGTAAACCACTTGTTTGCCACGTACAATCCACAGGCCACTAGTTGTTCAGCCCTGATGTAAGCAATCAAAAATGCTGAATGATTTAGTCATGCTATAACAAGTTTGTTTGTTTTTTCTGAAGAGCAAAGTACATCTGAAGAAAACTAGGATTGTTTGCAAATAATGCATTATCCAGGGAAACTAAATTAGTGACTGATATCTGTAATGATCTGTTCTATGAGCTGCAAGCAAGGTGTATTGTTAAGCTTTGTATAGGCAAGAGCAAAATCTTCATCATCTCCATCCTGGGTGTAAACACTACTATTACTTTTAACAAGCAAGGTTGTAAAACGCCAGTCTTCCGTGCCTGATTCTATTTCCTTTGTGATGCTTATGCAGTGTAAAAAGAAGGAAAAGTCTCTGGATTTCCCCAGGGGCGTAGTGATGGCATAGTCAGCTCCCATATCAGTCATCATACAGCCCTTGATGGGAAAAAGGAAGGAAAGGTATATATCTGAAGTACACTGAACTGTTCAATCATGTTCTGCTATATTATTGTTGCTTGAGGCTGTAGCCAGCTGTGTAGGTTAGAATGGTCTCTTGGGCTTTTTTAATCTATGCTAGAGCTACAGCCAGTGTGAATCAGCCAAAAACACTGATGGCTGAACTAAAAGTTGCTGAGATACAAGAGTTTGTGGCATAATGTAATTGGTATAAAGGAAAAACAGACTTAGCCAGAAATATGTAGGGTGCTTTGATATGCCAGTTTCCCAAAAGCTGAGAAACAATTATTAGCAAAACACATCAGAAGAAAACAATTAAGCACACTAGGAAAAAGAAAAGAATAATTTGGAGATGTTTACAGTATTTTACAAGCTAACCCAAAAGCCCTGACTTCACAATCTTGAAAAATCTGTTTTGGCTTGAAAACCATGACAATTAAGAAGATAAATGGAACAGCAAAAGTACATTGTTTTGATTAGGTTTTAATCACCATTATATAGCAAATGGAAAAGGGAAAGTTGATAGCAATGAATATACAATTAGCAGCTGATAAGGAAAGATAAAGGTATCATTCAGAAATTTGTGGCCAGTAAATGTAAAGGCAATAAAAAAGATTTTCAAACGTATCATGAACTAAAAATATTCTAGAAATAGCATGGGCCCATTACTAGATAGGGAGAACTAAAAATATTCTAGAAATAGCATGGGCTCATTACAAGATAGGAAAAATGAACTAGCCACAGTGTAGAAATGAATGGAAAATACAAAATAATATAATGGATAAGGACAATTTCAGTGTCACCATCAATAATTATAATGTTCAGACAAGTAAGGGAACTTTACATGAGATGCCACATAGTGAGGTATATAGGTTGCTTTCTATACACATCTTACTTATGGATACACAAGAGTTTTCTCATAGGTGACAATGTGAATAAATAAATAGAAACTGCCTTGTTAAAGATACTGCTGTAGAATGGATATCTTTGGCCAATCATTTGTCATGTCACAGATCGTTAAAATGTTTCTCTCTTCAAGCAATAATGGCATATAATTTTGGTGTCTATTTGGGGAGGAAGGAGTGACTCTTCCTGAAAACTGAGCAGGATGGTCCCTTGATCTCCAGCTACTTCCTCATTTTCCTCTTGCAATGCCAGCAAAATGCCAGCTGCAAAACCTATTTTGCATCTAGTTGTGATTTTGGAATTAAATGCAATGTAATTAGTTCCTTTTATACGTTTGGTAATCTTGTTAAGACAACTCATTAGGTGTCTTAGCAATTGGAAATTACTAGGTTTCAGAACATGTGCATTTCCTTTGTGAATACCAATTATTCCTAAATGAAGCAATTGTTCTTTCAAGGAAAAAAAGTGAGTTCTAAAAAGTTTTCTTATGCTCACACATTGTCCTCAGCTTTAAGCAAACTATAGTGGGTCTTTTGTGTTCTCCCTCTACAACTCAAAGCCCATTTCTCTATGGAAAATGTCTGATTATGTCATTAGTGTAAAAGAGTATATACAAATTGTTTAGGTGAACTGGCGATATTAATCCGTAAAATTTGTAAATTGATTAACATAATTTAGATTATATTATTGACAAGTGGTAAAATATCATAATACTTGTTCTTCCATTTATTTACTTCTAGGAGACTGCTTCAGAACAAAGAGTAAATAGGAACCCTTTCCAGCTGCAAAAATAAGATTTCCTAATTTTTTGTTCATTTTTTGCAATGACTGTATCATTTTCTGAGATTTAGGCAAACATCAATACATTAGACATAAGTGATTCAGTTTTCAGTTTTTTAATTTTTTAATTTTTTGTAACCATGAGGGCTAATAACAAACCCAATTTTTGATTACTGACTCCAGTGAAAAAAACCAAAGTAATTTGTTTTATATATACCTTAATCTAACCCAACTCAGATCTATATCCAGCTTCCACTGAAAAGAAGCCTAGCCCAATGAACCAAGAACAGCCTACATCAGGATGGGTAAAGTCCAGCCCATGGGCTGGATCAGGCCCATGGCAGATGCCATTTCTCAGCAGCCCCTGCTACAGCCAGCTTCCATGGAGACCCCAGCAATGGCAGGGCCGTGGTAGCGCCATGACAGTGCAGGACCAGGGTTTGCAGGGACAGCTTCCCTGGAGCAGCTCTCCACCCAGCTGCATGCCCTGCCAGCACTGATGGGGCTGGTCTCCATGGAAACCCTAGCCCCACACTGTCACCATGCCATGCTACTAGAGTCTCTATGGAAACTGGCCACAACAGCACAGGCAGGGCCTGCTGGGAAATGGAATCTGGCTGCTAGCCAGATCTGCCATTTTGCTCACCCCTGGCCTACAAAGTAATTAGAGTCAGTTGGAAAATACCAGATTCTTAAATTTTGTTTCTGTTCGAATAAGGATGAAAAGTAAATATCTACAGAAGAAAAATCCCACAATATTTAACTCAATAAAACCCAGTTCGTGTGTTATTTAACACAATAACTTACATTCAGAGGTACTATTAAAACTCTGAATAAGTACATGTGTCATTTCATATAATATAAAATCTATATAAGTAAACAATAAAATAAAAATTAAATATCTTTATCTTATAGAAACAAAACAGTTCAACAATATCAAAATAAGATGAGGAAGTGTCGTGGGGCACCTCACTGCCCCGCTCCTAGAGATTGGAAACTGCCAGGGAGAGCGAGCCCTGGCAGGACATAACGAGCACAGCTGTGGGTTGCCCTGGCAACTAATGTGAGTCAGCTGGCCAGAAGGGGGCAGGGCCTGGCCCTCATAAAGCCCAGGGCTGAGGCCACGCTGGCAGTTCTCTGCCCGTAGCCAGGGAGGCAGGAGCTCCTGGGGCTAGAATGTGAGCATTGCAAGAACTGCTCTAGCTGAGTGAAGGATGGCAGCTCAGAGGTTTGAGCACCATGGTTTAGCCAGATGGCTTTGAGTTGAGTTATAGCCAGGAGGCTCGAGTTTGTTTGCTTCTGATATTACACCGGTGGTTTGGGTGAGGCTATAGGGGTTGGAGGAGGCCTCATAAAGGGCCCCACAGTGGTGTGGGGGCCCTAGCGCCAGTCAGGGTGCAGAATCCTCATAAAGTGGGGGGAACCTCAGAGGTATGGGAACCCTGGTGCCAGTGGGGGCACAACTTGCAGGGTACATAGACCCCAGCCCCAGAGAGGGGCAGCTTTGAGAAGCCCCAGCGCGGGCATGACGAGCCCCAGAGAGGGGGCCATATTATTAGGAAGCCCAGTAGGGGCACAACAAGCCCCAGAGAGGGGGCCATATTATTAGGAAGCCCAGTATGGGCGCGGTGAGCCTCTGAAACAGGGCTAGTGCTGCGGGAAACCCCGGAGCAGGGTGGAGTGCTGCGGTGGCCCCCAGTGAGAGGGGGTAGTGGTGCGGTGAGCCCTGGGAGAAGGGGGTAGCAGCGCAGTGGGCCCGAGAGTCAGGGGGCATTGCCGAGAAGTCCCCAGAGTGGGCGCAGAGAGCCTCAGATGGGGGGGCTGTATTTTAGAAGCCCGAGTTTGGGTGACATTACAGGGAAAGCCCCAGGAGGGGGCACTATTGTAAAGGCCCCAGACAGGGGGCAACACTACATAGAAGGCCTCAGAGAGGGGCAACGTTACAGGGAGGCCCCGAGTGGGCTCGGAGAGCCCAAGAGAGGGCAGCCCAGAAGAGGAGGCCCCAGAGAGCGGGGCGAGAGTACATAGAGGAGGCCCGAGAGACGGGCCGTGTACATATAGAGAGACATACTAGCGTCTATCCCATCAGCGAGGCTTGGGGCGTGGTATTAGGGGTTGGTAGGAGCCACGCATAGCCCATAAGGCTAGGCTGCATGGGGGAGCACCCATCATACCGGGAGACCCCAGGGGGTCCGGAAACACATGGGGACAGAGGTCCCAGCTAACCGTGCCCAGGGAGTCGTAAGGCAGCCTCCCAACTTTACCTCAACATCAAAGACGTGGCGGGCGAGAATTTGAGGGTGCCCTTGGGCCAACTTGGCACGGTGAGGGGGGCCGAAAGGAGATCACGGCCCTCCTGAAGGACCCCGCCGTGACAGGAAGTTTAAGATATTGCTTCAATTTCTTCACATTGAAATTTTGATCAGAATCTAGATAGTCTCACAATGTTCCAACAAAGCTACAGTTTCAAATGAAAACTTTGTCTACTTTTTTTTTTTTTTTTTTACCAGCTCTACTGCTCTTGTGAACTGCATGTGTTTTGTTATCTCAACTTGTGGGAGCTTGTTTCATGGGAATGAAGAGTATCACTATTTGTTTTTCAATGTAAGCACCACACTTTCCTATCAAAGGTTCATTGTTTTTGTCAATCCTTTGAAAGATTTTTTCCACTTAGCCATTTCATTCTAAAAATCTGAACCATGCATCGTTCTGGTTGTGATTTCAGTTGTGCCTACAAGTCATAATTGATGTCAAGAACAGTTCGGAAGCATCTTGCCCCAGCAGCAGCTCGAGTCACTGGGCTTCACCGCCTTATGAAGTGCAATGGGATCATATATGTATTTTCATACAATGACAACGTGTAGCAAGAGGTTTGCTATGATGACATTAGCTCACTGCCTTGTGTGTGTTTAAATATTTGTGTGCATCTATAGTGGCAGAATGAAGGTCAGAGTTTTCCCCTGTTCTTGATATGGGTCATTGTGACAGGACACTTAGAGTGCCTGGAAATTTAAGAGATGAAGCAGCCCATGGAGCAGCTTGGAGGAGCAAACCAGGGCTGAGTGATGGAGTCATCTGACTGGGGGAGGGCTGGGCTTAGGCAAAATATAAGCCCAGACCCTGAGAGCAGAGCTGGTAGTAAGATCCTAGACTCTGCTCAGAGAACACCACCTCAGCAGGATGGCTGCAGCTCCAGAAGGTCAGCATGGAGGATAATACCTAGAGTGGTTTTGAGGTTTGGGAAGGAACTAAAGGGGTGGAGGAGGCTCCTGGGGACCCAGTGTGGGGACTGGAGCCCAAAGGGAAGGGCCAAGTGTGCAGGATCTGATGAGGAGTCTGGGGCCTGATGAGAACCTAAGTGTATGGAACCTGATGAGGGATCTGGGGGAGCCCAGAGAGATCAAAGGCTGAGAGAGAGCAGGGGACAGTGGGTTTGGAGGTGAGGGGCTGAGCTGGGGCCATTGGGCCTGGAGGTAAGAGTGAACTGGGGCCCAGAGGCCAGCAGCCCCAGAGGGGCAAGGATCACCAGAGTGGGCTAATGGGCTAGTCTGGAGGTGGGTTCTGGGTAAGACTGAAAACTGCACCCTACTGTGGTTTTGGGTCCCAGTGGTGGGGCTGCCTATAAAGTGCCACTGGTGCCAGACCCCTGAAAGCACCAGCCCCTGCTGCCTTGTGGATTACTCTTTGGTGGAAAAACGGCTAGGGGAGCACACCCAAATATAGAAGCAAGGGAAGGAAGCTTCTATGGATCTTAGGGCCTGGAGAGGGAGCTGCGTAAAGGAATTGCCACAGGAATTACCTGCAGGGACAGACTGCCCCTATGCCTGGGGGCCCAGTGAAGGTCCTGAAGCCCAGGAAGGGACTGAAAGAGCTTGAGCCCACAGAAGGAGCAAGTACCAGTGAGGTCAGAGAGCATATAAGCCTAGGGGTCTAGTGAGCATCCTGAATCCCTGAGGAGGGTCTGAGAAAGCTTGAGCTGCAGAAGAAGCATTTGTTAGTAGAGCAAAGTGGATTAGCCAGGTTAGTGTAACTCTGGACACACACCATAAAGAGTTGTACTGATACTTGACCTTTATTCAGGAGTAATTGAGTATGATGTAGTCAGCCA